AGTATACAACATGCTTCAACAGTGATTGCTACACTATTGCGTGTGCAGTGCTGCAGCTTTAACAGCTATAACGAGTTGATTTGTACTGTAACCGGAGAAACTAATATCCATCTGTTCCCTCTGTCGTTCCCTTAACTGATTTTATTGGAACTTGTGTTAGACATTTGACTTGTTATTCTGAGAACGAAGAGGCTTTGTATCAGGTTCCCTATCTGGTTCTCATATGAAGTTTGTTAAATCATCAAAAAAATGCATATATATATTCACCGAAAGATATTTGTAGAGGCACGAGAAAACGGCTCTTAAAGCGTACAAATTCAAGAAAAGACAAAAATAAGCTAAGGCATTTCTTGCCCAGTCTTAATCAGAGCCCAACTCACTATCCGAACCCTCAGGTTGGTACCTCACATTAGCCTCAGCTTCGAGCCTCTTGGCCTTTTTGATATCGACTGCTAGGTCGATCCCCGGGTCTTGGACCTCCTTGATAGCCTATCTCTGAGATAGCCACTTCATGTACTCATCCTTCGTTATAATATGGTGTCGGCTATTTCAATATCAGTCATATACTGGGCCAACATGTCCTGGGCTTCCAAGACCTCGTTCAAAGCCACCTCTAATTTGGACTTCAGCGCAATATACTCTTGGCCAAGAGCATCACGTTCTGCAACGACCGAGGTGAGTTTCGCCCTGAGCTCCTCATTCAGCTGAGACCATTTGCCGGCCTTTTTCTTCATCACTCGGAGCTGCACTTTGGTCGATGACAAGTCCTCTTCGGTGGCATCCCACTCCGATGCTAGTTGATCAATTTCTCCCCTCATCTCATCAACTGAGCCTTGACCTTGTCGATTTCGGATCTAAGCTGGTCGATCAAAGTTACATTCTCCTGGACCTGCAAGGTTGCAGCTTTAGCATTTGTGTTTAACATTTCTTTGTTGATCTCGACCACTCTTACCTTTTCAACCAGAAGAGCATGGTCCTGTTTCGCTTTCAATGACTCCTTTTAGGCTTTCTCCAGTTCGTCTTGGAGGCCAGAGTGGCCGACCATGTCCTTAAGGACTTCATCCTTCTACTCATAAAGAACATTGTACATCTTTGTTTCCTGGAAATACTTCTTGATCGAATTCGAGGTGACTTACCTCCATCCTGGACCGGTGAAAGATTTCATGATGGAGCACTGAGACCTGAGATATAAAGAAAGAAAATCATTGAAACACCGTTAAGGTATAGGGAATTCATTAAGATGAAAAGGAAGAAGGTATACCATATTCAGTGCATGTTGAGTGTCGTTGAAAAAAGGCTTGGCCTGTCTACCTAGTTCATCCTCTATTGGTCTTCTTCGGTTACCAAGGAACGAAGATAGCTAGCCACTCTGACTTTTCTAAATAGCATGCTAGTAACCGTTGGTATTGTGAACATGGCTGACTTTTTCCGTTCAGGGTCCATACTCGGGGCGAAAAACTATTTTTTGAGCTTTGTACTCGAACTCGGCTCACCTGAAACCGGTTACATGACACTTTTTGAGATCTCTAGGAGGCCAAAGTCGTAGTAATCCTCCAGTATGCCGACATCCACGCCCTTAAAAAATAAGTAAGGGCATCATCAATGACCCGGGATGCTTCGGTTGTTTTCTCTTTGACGGCCTGAGCATCATCTAAAATGGCCTCCATACGAGGCGGTGACTCCTGAATGTGGATGACTACGGCGCTTTTAGAGGCAGCCCTCCTTAGGGCTAGAGGGGCTTCTTTCAAAGCAGTATCCACTTGTTCTTCTCTGAGCCATCGAGCTGAGGAGGACTCAACCTTTGGAGCATCCCCCTCTAGGGCCACCAACTCTAGGTCAGCATCGATCGGCTCATGAGTGATGAACTCCATGACACCGTCATCCTCGGAAAAGTCATTGAGCCTATGAAGAGCCTTGAAATATGGGACCTGGGCACCCGAAGCTTTTTTGGTGCTCTTTCTTACCCTGAGCATAATCCTTTTCCTCTTCTTGGCCTCAGCAAGAGCGGCCGAGGAGTCAAGGGATCTCTTCTTCTTTTTCTTTCTTTTCTCTTCCTTCTTCACAGCAGCTTAGACAATGGGCTATAGTGAAACAGAGGGTTTTGTAGGCGGGGTCGAGGCTATGACATCAGTGATTTTCTGAAGTTTGGTGGTCTTAGGCAAACCTGTAAAAAAAGAAGAAAAACGAACTTAGTCATAGCAATGACAGAATAAAAAATGGCCAGGAAATAATTCAACCAAAAGGGGGTGGGGGCATTCACGGTGAGAACGAGCTTCGCACTTACCTATGGAGAGCTTATGTCACTCATGCTTGGGATATGTGAGTTGTTTTCATCCCACTCCCTAAAATGCGGGATCACATTCGAGACTCGGGCGACAACTGTATGTTAAATAAAACAAGTCATGAGAACGAAAAGTAGATACAAGAAAGTACTTTTGCGACTGAAGAAGAAGTAAAATTATATTTTGGGTTCCACTTCTCGGGGAACGACATGAACTTGGAAGAAATGAGGTCCTTGGTCTCCGAACAAACCGACCCTGCGAACCTTGGTCCATATCCTGGTCTATGTAGGAGAAGGGAGTTTTCTTTGCCCGACAAGCAAGTTGATTAACCCCCCTAGGAAGATTCTGGGACTGTAAACTCAGAGCAAGTGGTCGACAGTGAGTTGAGGCTCCTCCGTGTTGTTTGCAAAATAATGGAGGAGAGTCATGATCCTCCAAGAGGATGGGTAAACCTGCCCAAGGTAGATTTTGTACCTTTTACAGAACTCGAGGATCCCCGTATCATTTCACTTAAATATCATTTCACGTGTGTCGTGATGTCCTCATCAGGACTGGGAATGACTATGTCATTGCCTTCCTATTTCCAGTCCTCTCAGACAACTTTAAATGTCTCCTCGGTGATGGAGCAAACGTACCTCCATGCTTCCTCACCTCGGTCTCCTTGTGCGGAGGCTTTCTCGACCTTGAATTTGTTATCTATGGAACAACCTCTAGGGATAAAATATGTAAGGGGAGGCCCTGGGGCTAGTATCGGAAGCGTTGCCTCGGTGCCAGTAGTCGAGGAAGAAGTCGTCGGTGCAGTATTTTGTGGTACCGATTTTGAAGTCTTAGGCATCTTTATCTGAAAATATGAAGGGTTAAAGATTTGAAGGCAAGATATGAAAGTTAGAAGATGAAATATGAAGATGTGAAGAACATGTTATGAAAATTTGAAGGATTGATAAATAGATGAAAAACTCGAGGGTAACTCAAGGAAGTTTGAAATCAGAAAGTAAAAAAGTGAAAATAGGAAACCGGTAGTTTTATAAGAAATTAGTAATGTGGCATGGCGTTTCGAATTTGATAACTACTGAGGATGATAAATCGGCGGCTGATGCGTATTCAAAATCAGAGCGACGTAACCGATGAGACGTTCGGTTCGTCAACTTGCTCATGGAGTGTGAGAGAAGGAACTGGGGTCAATAAGTTACTTCCCATCGCTCCTATAATCTACTCTCCGAGAAGTGAGGGGACTATCTGTGTACAAGTAAAATCGGGGATAAAGTTACCCCTAATTTTCCATTGAGAAACAAGGAACAACGTTACTCGTTTCTAGCTCAAGTAAGACTGAGGGTGCCCGTGGATTGGAACCAGGAGCGGACGAATGATACGTCTGGAATCGAGCATGGCTGATCCCAGGGAGATTCCAGCTCGAGCGATACGAAGAATCGAGGGTAAAGGAAAAGACGGTTAAAGAAGAAAAATGGAGAGCCGAAATATCCGCCATCAGCCGGATATTACGGCGCGAATCACGTTCGATTTTGGTTGTAGATTGTGTTTTCGTGAGAGAAAAGGAAAGAGAGGATTTTTACCTTATTTAGACATGTATTAGAGTTAAAACTCCTCTATTATATAAAGAGAAGAATCCTTTCATTTTTTGACACTATTACTGGCACGCAGATAAAATTGATCATCTATTTTGTTGCAATCAAGCTCTTTTCTGAGGGCTCGACTGAAACCGATTTTTAGCATTCGAGTTTAACGCCAGACTTAAATACTTCGCCATACTTGATTTGATTGTTTTATCTCCTTTTAATTTAATTACTTACTGTTCTTTGATCATTTTTATTAAATTAAATCACGTATTCTTTAAACCGCGTATAATTTAATTGTTATCCATTTTAAGGGTAAACAACTTTCACATAAAATAAGATGAATTGGAGGGAAGAATATCTTAACAAGGGAAAATACAACACTACGATGATATGCGACCTTTCGAGGTAGTAAGGGTGCTTTTTCCTGTAGAGAGAATATATTTGATCACTTGATGATAAGTCTGACACATGAGTACTGCATTACATTCTTTCTTGATTAAGTGATCTGCTTTATTCCAAAAAAGGAATTTGAATCAAGTTAGTCATTTATCGATCAAACTAGGAGAGGCCTCCAAATTTCTCTATGGTATATTAGTACCTCCTTTTCGGTACGGATAAAATGTGGACTTGATTTCAACAGCACGCCTATAGGCTATAGCTATAAGTATATATTCTGAAAAGATTTCATTGTTCTCAAATAAAAAATAAGATTCTGATATTGTTAGTTGCTGAGGAAAAGGTAACTTTCTTTTTCCTTTTGCATGTTTTTAAGAGGGCATTATTGTAAAGAGCCGTCCGGTGCACAAACCACTCCGTGTTCATACAGAATCGAAGAAAGGGTCACACCGTGAGAGGTGTGATGTAGATATCATACCCTGATTCAAGTATCAGTGATTGATTTCATGGATCGAACCCGTAACGTATAGACTTGAAAGAATATAGGAAGCTTAATTAGTTTATCTACGTTAGATATGTAAAGTGCTCAAGATCGTTTGCGAATATTTCAAAGGAAGTTATATTCTCTTTTCGTTATCAAGATTGTAGAATGTGATGCAGCTGCATTTATCATACAAATAATCGAAGAAAATTAATACCTTGGATATTATTCACCCACTTCGCCTTTTGGGAAAATTGTCATCCTTTAATATCTAACCACTTTAAGCCTTTTATATAGCTCTCTCCAATTCAGGTTACCATATCAAATCAAGAAACTCAATACACAAAGCTTTCTATTCTCTAGCTCGTAAATTGCCTACACAAATTTCATCCAATACAATTCTTTCACCAAAGATCACTTAAACATTATGGATATGGTTATGAAGTTGGGAGCACAAAGTCCAGTTGTGATTTTTAGCAGAAGTACTTGTTGCATGTCTCACACTATTGAAACGTTAATCCGAAATTTCGGAGCAAATCCTACAATTTATGAACTTGATAGACTTCAGAATGGGAGAGAATTGGAGAGGGCATTGATTGAATTAGGGTGTCAAACAAGTGTGCCTGCTGTGTTCATAGGAAATGAATTGGTTGGTGGTTCTAATGAGATAATGAGTCTCAACATTAGAGGCAAGCTCAAGCAATTGCTCATAAGGGCTAATGCAATTTGGGTATAGAAATAATGCTTTTAAGTTTTAATTTTCTAGCTAAAATATCTAGGACTTGATGTCATTTTTTTTTGGCAGAGATACACCTAGCTATTGAGGTTCTTTTTCTGTCTTTTTCCTTTTTAAATAAAAAAACTTGGGGCAGTTTTTTTTATCTAGCTCCAACTTGTTATTGATGTATCAATAATGGTACGTTTTGGCCATAATATAATGACTACTTGCTGCATTACTGATTCATATCCTAACATCCACACCCTAACATTCTTGCAAAATTTCTGACCTAACGTACTAATTATAAGTCGTTTCATGGAAAGTTCTATCAATCGCTTTATTGTGAAAGACCAAATTGACCCATTGTGTCCGTGTTCATCAAGGTTACACAAATCAAGTCCATAAATGTATGACGGCAAAAAAAAAAAAAAACTTGCGTCCATAATCACTGTTATCTCAGCCTCCGTATGAATATTCATTTGCCATAATGAATATTAATCCATTATCTACACTAATCGATTTGAAGAGAAAGCTTAATCCATTATCTACACTAATCGATTTGAAGAGAAAGCATACTTTACAAAGGTCATGCCTCACTTTATATCTAATTTGATGAATTGGATATTACATGAGATATTAGTGTACAACAGTAGAATATTATCATATATATATATCATGGGAGTTGGTTAGTTAGTTAGTGAAGTGGGGTGTCTATATGTAGTTAGTTAGCCAATGTAACAGTAGCTCTTTTCTTCCTCATTTTCTGAAATACAGAGCTCAGCTCATTTTTTCTTTTCTCTCAACTCTCTCTAGTTAGCGATTCCATTGTTGATTCATACAATTTGTTCATGGTATCAAAACTGAATCGCGATTGCGAGTTGAATCCGTCGATTCTGTTTAATTCATAGTAATCTCAACCTTCGAATTGCAGTTTCTAAGTAAGAATTAACAATGGAGGCGAAGACAGATCTTGACCACAATCACCCTCAGTTTCTTCACCCATAGGACATCACCGGAGCTCCCATCATCTCAATTCAGTTGACTAGTTCAGAAAACTATTCCACCTGGAGTCGTGCGATGGAGATCCAGCTGTTAGGAAAGAACAAGCTAGGGTTAATCGACGGTACTCTAAAAAGGGGGGATTTTGATACAAAACTATGTCATCAATGGGATAGATGCAATGTCATTGTCCTAGGGTGGATTATGAGCTCAGTATCGAAGGAATTGATTACTGGAATACTATATATGAGGGATGCGAGAAAAGTATGGGAAGATCTGAAAGAACGATTTAATAAGGTGAATACATCACGTGTCTATCAACTACAAAATACCATAGCAACAATAACTCAAGGAACAGACAGTGTTTCAATTTATTTTTCTAAGCTCAAAAATTTTTGGGATGAATTTGACAGGATGGTTCCTCCTCCATGTGACTGTGCTAGCTCAAAGAGTTTCATCAAATTCATGCAAAACTAGAAGGTATTGAAGTTTCTAATGAGCTTAAATGACAACTATGAACTAGCTCGTAGTCAAATTCTTATGACCAGTCCAACACCAAGTATCAACAAGGCATATGCAATGCTTATTGAAAGGGAAAGTCAGAGGTCATTGGCTAATACTTCTACTATTGGTAAAAGAATTGACTTAGCTGCTTTACTAGCTGGTAAAGGAGGAAATTACCAAAACTATCAGAAACCAAAGAGAAGCTGGAATGTGCAATGTGATTTTTGTCACATGAAGGGCCATACAAAAGAGGGATGCAACAAGATAATTGGTTATCCTCAAGACTTCAAAACTAAGAAGAAAGGAACACAAACACTGCATATAATGTTCATGTTGAGAATCTTAATCCTAATTTTGCAGGTGTTGATGATAGAAGAGGAGAAATACCAGAAGCAATAAAGAAATGAAACTGGCAAAGAGCACCTCAACTCACAACAGATCAATATGGCCAGATTATGAAGTTTCTCAACAAAGATACTCCAGAGGATGTAATGGCTAACATGTCAAGTACAACTTACTCCTTTATGGCTAAGATAGCAAAGGAAAATTGGATAGTTGATATAAGAGCAACTAACCATATGGTAGATGATTTAGGAATGTTAACAAATGTTAATAACATTAGCCCTATTAGAGACAAAAAAGTTCACTTGCCTAATGGAGAATGTACCATTGTGTCACATGTTGGGAATTGTAAAATCAAAAAAACTGCGGAAATGCAAGATGTACTGTATGTTCCTGAGTTTATATACAATTTTCTTTCAGTATCAAAGATAACAAGAGACTTACATTGTTTTGTCTTTTTTTACCTTGACTTTTCCCTATTCCAGGACCTCTCAAATGGGAAAGTGATGGGGATTGGTAGAGAGAAAGATGGATTCTACTTACTAGTCCCAAAGTCTTCTCTTAAATCTGACAGCAATGTACCAACAGTCAAAGGGTTAAGTGTACAGACAACAAAGGATAACATATCTCTATGGCACAAAAGATTAGGGCATACATCTGGAGGATCTTTGAAGGAGCTTCTGGGATATAAATTGGAGGATTGCAAATCTGTAATAGATAGTTGTGATATATGTCAAATGGCAAGACATGTGAGACAACCTTTTCCATTAAGCAGTACTAAAACTACTAAAAAATTCAACTATTGCATTTAGATGTATGGGGACCCTGCAGTGCACCAACATTTGATGGTAATAAGTTCTTTCTCACAATTGTAGATGATTAATCTTGTGTGACTTGGATCTTTCTCTTGCAATTTAAAAGTGATGTCATGAATGTTTTTAAGTCATTTCTTAAGCTGAAACAAACACAATTCCATGGAATAGTTCAGACAATTAGGTCTCACAATGGTGGAGAGTTTGTAAATTCAGCTATGCAGGACTTATGTAAATCTATGGGAATAGTTCACCAGAAAATATGTGTCTGTACACCATAGCAAAATGGTGTGGCTAAGAGAAAATACAGACATTTGCTTGAAGTTGCAAGAGCTTTCAAATTTCAAAGTCATATCCCTATAAAATTCTGGAGACATTGTGTTCTGGCTGCAACATATGTTATTAACATGCTAGCATCACAGGCACTCGATGGTAAGTCACCATATGAATTGTTCTTTGGTCGGAAGCCTTCCATTTTTCTCATCTGAAAACACTAGGATGCCTTTGTTTTGCAAGTGCATTACCCAGGACAGATAAGTTTGCTAGTAGAGCTATCAGGGCTGTCTTTATGGGGGTATTCTGGTGTCACTAAGGGGTATATCCTATATGATTTTGATAGGCACAAATTCTTTGTCAACATAGATGTGGTGTTCAAGGAATCTGTGTTTCCTTTTCATGCTTCAAATGATGATCTTAGGAAACAAATCAAACCTTGTATTCCCAACACTACTAATGATGTTTTTAGTTTTGAAGGTGGAAATACAGATGACCCTATCGCTACAACTACTGAGCAGCTACATGTGCTACATGATAATGCAGAAGACATTATCCATGATATTGAGCATTTACATAGTTCAGACAACATTGCACAAGATTCACCTTCTGAAGACAAACATCCTAATACCCTAAGATCACAGAGGGAATCTAAAGAACCAGTCTGGCTGACAGATTATGTGACCACAAGGAAGTTAGGAAACACTACTTTATACCCTATCAACAATTATGTCACATATGATAATATTTCTCCTTCTTATCAGGCATACTTGGGGTGTATTTTCTTTAGTTGTTGAGCCTAAAACCTTTCAGGAAGCTTCTAAGGATGCAAGATGGTTTGAGGCTATGCAAACTGAAATTCAAGCCCTGCAAGACAACAAGACTTGGAATATGGTTCCCTTGCCTCAAGGGAAGACATCAATAGGTTGTAAATGGGTCTACAAGGTCAAACTTAAGGCCAATGGTGATGTGAAAAGATTCAAAGCAAGGTTAGTAGACAAAGGCTACAAACAAAGAGAGGATCTTCATTACAATGAGACCTTCTCCCCTGTAGTAAAAATTACCACTGTGAGAACTGTACTTTCATTGGTAGCCATGCATAATTGGCCAGTCCACCAGCTAGATGTCTATAATGCTTTTCTGCAAAGTGACCTACATGATGAATTTTACATGCACTTACCACAGGGTTTATAAGTGAGAGGGAGTCTGGATTGTTATGTCAACTTGTAAAATCTCTCTATGGTCTGAAACAAGCAAGCAGACAATGGAACTTAAAGCTGACAGAGGCATTGTTACAGGCTGAGTTCAAGCAAAATAACTTAGGCCATTCATTATTCATCAAGAGGAATGGAACAGATATAGTGGTAATACTAATATATGTCGATGATATGTTGGTTACAGGAAACAACTTGCAGCTGATTGAAATTACCAAATCCTTTTTACAACAGGCCTTCAAGATCAAAGACTTAGGTGAATTGAAGTTTTTTCTTGGCACGGAGTTCAACAGATCCAACAAAGGTATTCTGATCAATCAAAGAAAGTATGCATTGGAAATAATATCATAATTGGAATTAAGTGGAGAAAAACCAACCTGGACCCCATTAGAGACAAATGTCAAGCTGACAATTCCAGAACTGGATCAGTTGATGGGTACAACAGAAGATCAAATGTTAGAAGATGCAGGCCAATATCAGAAGCTTATTGGAAAGCTATTACACCTAACTACGTCCAGAACAGACATTGCATTCTCAGTACAGACTCTTAGCCAATTCATGCAGCAGCTATAAGAGTGGTAAAGTACATTAAAAAAGATCCAGCACTGGGGATCTTATTGAACAGTCAATATTCAAGTGAGATTAATGTTTTTTGTGATGCTGATTGGGCCTCATGTCCTAACACTAGGAAGTTAGTGTCAGGGTACCTAATCAAGCTTGGAGAGTCTGCAGTTTCATGGAAGCCCAAGAAGCAAAACACAGTTTCTAAAAGCTCAGCTGAAGCTTAATATAGAAGCATAGCAAATGCAGTCTCAAAAGTTGTTTGGATAACGGCATTGCTAAAGGAATTGGGAACAGAAGTGAAACTTCCAGTATATGTACATAGTGATAGTAGGGATGAATACAAATAGCAACAAATCCATCATTTCACGAAAGAACAAAACATGTAGAGATCGACTGTCATTTTATTAGACAAAAAATACAGGAAGGACTGGAGAAGACTCAATATATTCCTTCAAAGGAGCAACTAGAAGATGTTTTGACTAAGGGATTAGGAAGGCCACAACATGAGTATCTAGTTGGCAAGCTGG